GGATTTTGACTTGTGCATTCAACTTTTCACTTACAATTAGAAAACACAAGTTAAAAAACTTTGGAATTGCAGCAGAATGTTAGGTAATCCGAAAAAGATGCTTCGACCAATGAGAAATTTTCTTGGAGTTCTCATTTTTGTCTTATTCTTTTGTTCGTAACTCTATTTTCTATACCTACTTTTTGTTGATTTAGTATTTAATAAACAAGTTGTAGAAAGTATACTCTCGTGTCGTCCTATGAAATTGTTGTAGCATACCACCAACCTTCTTATTTTTATGCTAAGTGAATGTTTTAAGTTGTATAAAAGTAAATTAAGTATGTTTGTTTACTTTTCGTAACTCTATTTTCTATACCTACATTATTAAGTCCCCGTTTGGCCCCCATTATTTGTAATTATTCTGGTTGGAATAGTGTTTTTTTTTTTTTTAAAAAAATGTGTAAATGAAAAAAAAGAAAATGTTTTAAATTGAATGTTTTAAAAATGTAAGAATAATAAAGTCGAGAATCACTCTATTGACGATGTTAATCGAAACCTCCCCGAAAAGACAATATTAAAATCAAATAATATTTAATTTTTTTTAAATTTCTTTACTCATTTGTATGGTTTTTAAAGCTTATTAGCCCAAAAAATTAATTTACAGTGACCTAAGAACCTTTTTATAGATTAGTTGCCATAGGCCAGCATATTATTGTGATGGGTCGGCTCTTCTCTCTCAATACAATCCAGGCCCAAACTTACAGCCTACTTCTCTAATCCCAAAAGTAGTGGGCAATTTTTTTACTTTCCTACCTACAATTTCCTAAATATATTACAAGGAAACAATTCAAAAATACTCTTAAAAAGTTTACTAATTCCATACTTAATTTTTTTTTTTTTAAATTTTTTGTACAAAAAAATTTGTTACACACATTTCATCACCATTTTATAACTGTCACTACCGACCTCACCACTTACACTTATTTTTACATCACTGTCGTAGTCGCCATCACCTTACGTAACAAACGCTGTGACAACACCACCACGTACGACCACCACCAACACTTGTAATGTTTAGTGTTACACCACTACACCATTGCCACCATAGGATCACCACCACCACCAATATCATTTTACAACAACTGTCACCATATATCAAATGTTTTTCTAAGCATTTATGATGCTTATAATGATATAAATACATAATACATTTATATATATGTATAGATTTGTAGAGAGAGAGGTGGATGTGGCCGTCGGTTGAGCTCCGACACCGTTGTTAAATTGCAAAATCAAACCAGAGAAAAATCAAAGAAATAGGAAGAAAGAAGAAAGAAAAAAGAAGGCTGGAAGATGAAAATCACGTTTCATTGATGAATTATAATCACTTGATTTTATATCAAATAGAATCCATATTTATACAAGGAATTAACCAACTAAACTAACTAAACAAACAAATGGATAACAAAAATAACAAAGTAATTAACTTAACTAACCAGAAGGAACATAGAAAATGTTAATGACTTTTTCATGTAATTTTTCCCGAACAAGATGACAATCAATATGGATGTGCTTTGTCCTCTCATAATGGACTGGGTTAGTAGCTATGGATAACGCAGATTTCCTATTAGAATAGAGTAAGGTTGGTTGAGGATGAGCAACGTGCAGATCTTGTAGAGCATAAAAAAGCCATTGAACTTCACACATAGTGGATGCAAGAGCAATGTACTCTGCCTCTGCTGAAAAACGACTTATTGATACTTGTTTATTTGATTTTCATGAAATCAAAGAATTACCAAGAAAAATTGCAAATTTGAAGAATCTTGACTGTATGAGGTTTTTTCACACAAAAGGTTTTAAATAGGAAAGTTTTTTGCGATTTTCAAAAGGTAAGAGAGTGCATCGTACATGAAAACGTTTTTAGGAGGATTTTTTTTTACTATTAATCCTTATTAAAAGTATGAATGAGTTCTCACAATTTTGTTATTATTTTGTTATTCACAATCAAGATCGATATTCTAGGAGTAATGAAACTTCTCTCTTTTATATTTCTTAACACTCTTAACCCCTAATCAAAATACTTGCAACAACCAT